GGCAATCTATAACCTTTTGTAGGGATTGAAGTTAAGCTACATACGGGTAGTCGTAAAGAAACCAGGAGCGTTTTGGACACTAATCCTTAACAACCACATTTTTAATCATATTCAATTAAAATTTTCAAGTTAAAAATAGTTTATTTACCATCGATACTAAAAAAATCTTCTAATAATTTTAAGATCTTTCACTAAAAGATGTAAACAAGTTAAAACGAACATATAAATTCACAGTTCCTTTGCATGGTGAAGTTTCTAATGAAAAGCCTTGGAGTAAAAATAATTAATAAAAATCTCAAAAATAAATACAATAATTAAATTAAAAATCATTTGAAAGGATACTCAAATTGAAACTTCCAAATTACAATAACAAAATTAGGGTTTTTTGTGTTCAATTCATATCCTCACTCTTAATTTCTTAGGTAAAATTTGTCTAAATTTTGCCTTACAAGTTTATGGACTTGTTTTCATAATTTAAATGTCCTAAATATTTTAATAGTCTCTCATCTTCTATAGTATTAGGGAATTCATCTACCACAAATTAAAAGTTTTATCCTAATACAAATGATGTAATTTGTTATTGTGAAGAAAAAAAACCAATATTGGTAACAATATTGCATTAATGTAAAGACAATTAATCTCTCATTTATTTTTAAAATTAATCAAATTGAACTTAAAATAAATTTTGATAATCAAACATGTGAAATTAATAAATTGTTAAGCGAATCCTTGTGAGATTTAATATGCTTAAGTCCAATAAAATTTTCTTCTAATCTATTTATAAAATATTTACGCAACTTGTAGTTATTTTGCAAAAGCCCGTTTTGGAATTTCTTTTTAATGTGCATGGTTTCCAAAAGCATTAGTCATATAATTCACATATAGTGGTAATTCAGTATATATTATGTAATGACCCAACCGGTCATTTTGACTTTTAGAACCTTGTTCCCCTATATAAAACTCCTCGTATGTGCTTTTATTAATTTATGACTTGCGGGGATGGTTGGTTCGGGATTTAGAAGTGTTCGGGTTGAAATCGGAACACCGGTTCCTTAATTTGGTTTTAAAAGCCCAAATTTGACTTCGGTCAACCTTTTGAGAAAACGATCCCGGAATCGGGATTTGACGGTTTCAATAGGTTCGTATGATGATTTTGGACTTGGGCGTATGTTCAAATCGGGTTTTGGACAATCCGGGAGCGTTTCGAAGCTTAATAGTGAAAAATCAACTAATTGAAGGTTTAATGTTCTTTAAATTTGGTTTGGAGTAAGTTTTGGAGTAATTAAAGTCAGTTTGGAATTCCGAACCTGAGAATAGCTCTGTATGGTGATTTAAGACTTGCACGCAAAATTTTATGTCATTCCGAGTAGTATAAGTATATTTCGGCACGTTCGGAATAAGTTTAAAGAATTTGAAAATTCTAAGTTGAATCAATTTGGTTTGAGGTATGATTCTTAGTTTTGATGTTATTTTACACATTCTGAGGGTTCGAGCGAGTCCGTTTTATGATTTTAAACTTGTTGGTACATTCGGGCGGGGCCCCGGGGGCCTCGGGTGTTAACCGGACGAGGCTCGGATCAATTTTGGACCTTGGAGCAGCAGCTGAAGCTTCCAGCTTCTGCTGCAACCGCACTTGCGCTTGGCCAGCCGCGTTGTGAGGCCGCAGGTGCGAAGCTTGGCGCGCAGAAGCGAAGGCCCAAGTCGCAGAAGCAGACTCGCGAAAGCGGTCCTGAGGCCGCAAATGCGGAACTTGGCCAGGCGAGGGAAACTTGCACCTGCGAGGCTTTTTCCGCAGGTGCGGCTAGACCTCCGCAGGTGTAAAAATGCTACTGGGCAGAATGGTTTGAAGGGAACGAGGCTCAGTCATTTTTAGCCCGTATTTCCTCCATTTTTGGGCGATTTTGGAGCTTTTTGAGAGAGAATTTCAACTAGCAACTTGAAGGTAAATTAATTCTACACACCTTGAGTTAAATACATAGTTTATTGGGTAGATTATAACCTGTAAATCTTGAAAATCAAGGGTTTAGATGAAAAATTTAGGTTTTGACAAAAATGAGATTTTAACTACGAAAATGGTTATGGAATTGGATGGAAATTGTATAATTGAGTTCTTGAGATTATGGGTAACGTTTTTCTCCGAAAATTTCCATAACCCGGACACGTGGGCCCGGGATAAATTTTAAGGATTTACCATTTTGGATAGGGTAATTTAATTAATAGTCTAATTTCGAATTTTCGAACATGTATTAATTATTTTATATAATATTTGGATAGTTTCGGATTTTCCGTCACCGAACTGGGATTTTACGCGACATTGTGATTGGTAAGTGAGCTTTGAGACACGGTAAGTCTCTTGTCTAACCTTATAAGAGGGAATTTACCCCATGGATGATTTAAATTAATAATTATTGCTAATTGTGGGGGGCTACGTACGTACGAAGTGACGAGAATCCGTGCGTAGCTACTAATATTGCTAAAGTCCGGGTAGTTTAGGACTTAAATCATGAATTACTTGTGATAATTGTATCCTTATTTAATTAAAGCAATAGAATTATGTTGCAAATTGTTAGAGAAAATGGTAAAAGATTGAAATATCACATACTTGAAATTTTATTCAGAATATTTAACTATTGTAGAAATTTGTGCATCCTCCTGCGTTAAATCTCAAAAATATAAATATATATATATATATTCCGGAGGTTCATAAAAAATATCTTCCTTTCTTGTGGAGCGGGCCGAACGCCTCGGCAGTATAGATGCATCTATGGATCGCGCCGCACGTCCCTCGGCAGTGTACACGACACTCTGGATCGGATCATACGACCTTGGTAGAAATCGTGCCTAATAATAATAATTACACGATACCTTGATATTTTAATTGTTGCTTGTGAAGTTAATTGATAAATTAAAAATTATTGAAATGTAAGGAATTAATTATTTCTGCTTATTAAGAAAATTATTGTTGTTCATCTAAAAATCATGTTTAATTCAATATATTCTATAGTAATATTATTGACCCATAGTGAGTGTCAAAGTCGACCTCTCGTCACTACTTCTTCGAGATTAGGCTTGATACTTACTGGGTACACGTTGTTTACATACTCATACTAAGGTTGCTGCATTTTTTGTGCAGGACCTGAGACATGTACTATCGGAGGACCTATCGGTGCGCACCCACGTTATCCAGAGACTTAGTTGTGAGCTGCCTTTATAAGCCGTTCTGCAGCAACTAGTGCCTCTTCTTGTATTTGTGTTCTCTCTATTTTATTTCAGACAATATTTAGAATTTTGTATAATCTACTAGATACTCATACACTCATGACACCAGGTCTTGGCACACAATAGTAGAATTTGTGAATTTAATTATTTTACTTGGGTTTTAATTTATCTTATTTTCTCATATCTTTCTTAATTTTTGAAATTTTGAAGAGTTTGATTACTCGAAAAAATTTTAAAGAAATGAATATATGTTAAATCATTAGTTGGCTTGTCTAGCTGGGATGTTGGGCGCCGTCACGACCTATATGTGAACTTGGATCGTGACATATTAATTACAAAAACATAAGTAAAAAAAATAAAATAAGTGTGTACAGTAGTTAATAGAGGGAAGTATTACATCACTACTTATTTTAAGAGAGAATAAGCAGTATTCAATAAGTTTTGCACTGGCAAAGTATGTTCTTAGGCTAAATACCCTTTTTCAGCACAATGAAAATTAAAAATGAATCTGTACTCCCATTTTCCAAGTTGAAGCAAAGAACACATAAAAGCACCAATCTTTTATGAGATTCAGAAAAAAAAAAAATAGACAACAACCCATATTCTAAATCATCAATCCAAATATTCTTACACCATTAATTCAAATTTTTCTTTTTAAAAGAAAAAAAGAAAAACACCAAACAGCATGATCGTGAAAAAAAGAAGGTAATTATAATAACATAGAAAACACTCACCACAATAACCAAGAAAAGATTAACGGCAACACATTACAGAGAGAAACAGTTTGGGTGGGGCCCTGGGCTTTGGGTACACGTGGGAAGTACAAAGTAAGCGAGCAAAAGCTATTGTATGGGAATGTGTGGTGGTGAGGGCAATTTAGTCAAAGGCATGCAAAATGTTATCTACGAGCTCGGTAAGATTTTATTTTGACCAATCATTATGTTTCATTTTAACTGACATTACCATATTACCCTTTAAATCCCAAGCAGACATGTCGTCCAGCTGTCTGCTAACTCCCCCTTATTAGATAGTAGAATTAAAAGCTCGTATGAACTACAATGAGTAAAAAAATCATAGCTTTTTTAAAGGGATCTAGCTATAGAGCATTCAAAAGTGACATTGAATTCTTAATTTTTCATGTTGGTGNATATATATATATATATATTATTAAGTTACCTAAAATATAATTTAGTCCATAAAATAAAGTGAAGCTGATAACATGAAAAATAAGACATATTCTCACGTATTATTTCAATATATCTTACATAGTTTAATTCAGCACACGAAGTAAAAAAGAAAGAAGAGTTTTTAAACCTATAGTCTTAAACATGTTATAGCACCTACTTGACTTTTGAAACTTGGGGTCTCTTAAACACGCATTAACATTTGTGCACTATAAAAGTTTCATATTAAGACTCAAATGAAAAGATAACATTAAATTATTCTCAAATATAAATATGTATAATTCTTTTTTGAAATGATAGGAAATAATGTCACATAAACTAGAACGGATTAGAGTAATATCCTGGGTAGAGCTAGGAAGGCGAAACGGGTTCATCTCAATCCCCTTTCCTGAAAAATTATATTATATATAATAGGTCAAACTTATTATTTTATGTGTATATAGTAGATGTTGAATGCTCTTGACTTCTTCATATATTTATTTTTTTATATTTTGAATTTCCTTTGAAAACATTCTGACCCCATTACTGAGTATTACCTCACAAACTTATTAAAATATTAAATCCAATCATGCATGATTCCTTTTATCCAAAGGAGGTAGTTAGTGACTATAAATACTACTGCCCTAAGTAGTGGGAAAGAACTGAAAAACACTATAAAGACAACTCTGAGGGAAGACAAGAATTTTGCAGTAAATCATCAGAAGGAGACACACTCAATTCCCCACAAGCCCAAAAAGATGTCACAATGTGAGAAAGATTTGGAAGCAGAATTGGAAGTACTGAGAGAGACTTTTAAATCTGGGAAAACTAGAGAAGAATCTTGGAGGAGGACACAGTTAAAAAATTTGCTCAGATTTCTTGAAGAGAAAGAAGATGACATCTTCAAAGCCCTTAAACAAGACTTGGGAAAACACCAAGTTGAAGCTTACAGAGATGAGGTAATGTATTTTTACATTCTCCCTCCATCCCAAAATAAGTGTCGTTTTTTCCTTTTCGAGAGTTAAATTGACAATTTACTATGTTAAAGGGCAGCCCGGTGTACTAAACTCCTCCTATGTGCAGGGTCCGGGAAAGTATTCGGACCACAAAGATCTATTGTACGCAATCTTATCCTGCATTTTTGCAAGAGGTTGTTTCCACGGCTCGAACCCGTGAAAATATAGTTAAAATTAAAATTTAAATATTCAAAAATTATACGAAAATAACTACTCTTATAAATTATATAGTTTTTCTCATATTAATTTGATTAAAAATTAAATCTTAAAATATTAGTCAAAGTTCACGTATAGTTTATTTTCGAGAAGTGAAAAACACCAAATAATTGGGAGGGAGGGAGTATATGATTAATTGGGTGGTAGTAACTATTTTTGAAGTTTTTATATTCATATAGTTTTAGCAATATTCACAAATAAAGATAACTTTCTAATTCAGAAGCCCGATTTCAGTTTTGGAGACAAAATCAAAGTTATGGAGTACATTACAATAGAATTCGAAAAAGTTTAATATAGGTCTAATACGTGAGTGTATACGTGGTAAAGTTTATAAAATAGTTCTGTCTTAATTTTTCTTTTAATATATTTTAAAAAGAATGCTACATTCTCCATATTAGTATATTTAAAATTCCAACCCTTTCATTTTATCCCAAATAACACTCCCTTATAGAAATGATATGTTATGCTATTAAGATCACAAGATTCAAAGATTATCTTTGATATCTTATACATATTTTTACCTTTAGTTTAGGATCACAAGACTTAAAAAATTTTATTACATCTTTATAATGGAGATAGGCTAGAGACAAGTGTGAAGTCCTTTTTAAAGACAACTAATGCTTGATTGGATATTTTAATTTGTTTTGCTTCACATTAGATGACAAAGCGAAAAAGATATTAAGAAGAAAAAGGAGGAGGAAGCAATGGTGAATTAAACTAACAACATGCCGTTTCATGATGTAACATGAAAAATAAACTTACATTATTACAAAGCAAAAAAGTATGGGTAGAATTATTATATAAAATATAAGGTAAAGGAAAAATAAAATTATTTAATAATAAAGAATGACAAGATGAGAGAAAAATACAATATGACAATGCGATCGCGTTAAATCGATCGTTACATAAGGTGATAATTTTTGTCTTTACGTAACAAGGACAAAAATTAATAGGGAGCTTCCTTTATTTCATGACGGTGAAGTAAAATCAATATCATGATCTTTATTATATGATATATGATATATAAGGACGAGTTGAAAGGACCTTTTTTTTTTTTCTTCTTGTCCACGTGTGGCTAAGATTAAGCCGTTGGCCTTATCATGCAAGTGGAAAGAGGGCATTAATTTTGACACAATTAGTTAGGGGGTGAAGTCAGAAGTGACAACCTAATTGAATCAATAGCCCTCCAACTTTGGCAAGGACCTTGTGAAGTCATTCAGAAACATAGCATTAAAAACCCCATCAGGATAACAATATCTTTATGATCCTCTGCACATCATTTTGACTTTTTTTTTGGTTGGGGGGTTAGTTTGGAAAGAACTCTTCTACTTACTATCTTCTGTAGTATTTTGGCATGATATTTTTTAAACGAAAAATGGAGAGGGTTAAGCTATGGTTTGAAGCAGTGGCATAGCCAAAGAATTTTAACGAGATTTCAAATTCGAGATTCAAAGCTACAATCTCTAAAAGAATAGTAAGGCTCAGCCTATTATTCCTAAAGTAACTTTTATCCGTTGAGTGACGCCCCACTCACTAGGATCACTAAGGTCGTCTTTCGCCGTTGCTCGATGGGTGTGTCAAGCTCCCTGATCTTCCTTTGTACTCGAGGGCCAATTTTCATCCGGCCCGAGGAAACCTTTGCACACCTCTGGTACCTTTTGGAAGGTCTACGCCTCATAAAACTATCTAACTGAGACTGTCCATTGGCCCATAAGTCCTGACACAAAGTTATAATTTTAGACCTTCCGGAGTGGTATATCGACCGAAAGCAGGGAGAGAGGGAGCTCTTACTAGTAAACAAAGAGGACCTCTTTAGAATAACTTTTGAGTCACACTTAGTGTTATGTAAAAATAACTTTGAGAGAATTCAACAAATATGTATACAAAAATAAATCGTATTTTTTACCTTATTTGCTGATTGAATAGACCCTTTCAGACCATATAGCTCCGGCCCTCATTAGGAGGTAGGAGAATGCATAATTTAATTAACATAATTATCATAGTGAGTAAATATAGCAATTCCATCTGAAGAAAGAATTATCTATATTTTTTTCTGCAGATTGGAACATTAATAAAATCTGTGAATTATGCACTGGATGGCTTAAAGCAATGGATGTGTGGCAAGAAGGTATACTCTGTAAAATAGACTTGCATTAGATGAATATTTTGAACTTAGTTACCTTGTATCTAATCTAAAGCTAAATATTGTTATTTGATTCACAGGCCAAATTGCCAATTGCTGCATTCCCTTCTTCAGCAGAGTTGGTTCCTGAACCTCTTGGTCTAGTCCTCATTATTTCCTCTTGGAATTTTCCTTTTGGTAAGCTTTTTTCTCCTTTCAATTTTAATTTTAGTTTTTCTCTAGCTTTGTCAGAAAATGATGAATTTTATGATTATTATTACTCAAGTTAGCAGAAAATTAAAAATTTAAAAATTGTAGTTCTCTTTAGAGATTATGTGTTAAGTGGCGTTCTCTCCCTAATACCTAAACAGAGTAGTTCCATTTTGTAGTTAATCGTAAGTTGGTATGTCCGTATGCGAAAAAAACTCAGACATGCTCAAATAACATGTGATATGTATATTGTTAGTGAAAATATAATTAATTACCGTTTGACAAATAAGATGAAGAAAAATAAATAAATTTTATTTATGTTGAGGCGCAGATTTTTCGGTCTCTTTAAGGAGATTCAAGCTCACCACATCAAAATCCTCACTAGTCCAACAGTAATCTTCTTGACTTGTCCCCTCCAAAATACAACATCGTGTAACTCGAACAAACTCTGGACAAGTTGTTGAGTGAGTCCATTACTTAAACGGTCGCTCAATTTTTCGAAATTATCTACCAAAGTCATTTTTCTTTCGTTTGTAATAGCAATGTCACTTAACCATGCATATAGCACTCAGAATGTCACTTAACTATGCCTATAGCACTCGGAATGTCACTCAACCAAATTTATCAAACTTTAGATTGACAAATACCTATTTTACCCTTTAAATTATCAACTTTTTATCTTCTAATTTTTTTTTTTTTGCTTTTGCTTTTTTAATATTATGATTTTTTTCTCACATTATAGACTTACCTATAGAACATAAATATTATATTTAAAAATAAAAAGTAAAAAATTCTAGCATATATAATGTCGAAATAATAATATAATTGAGTATAATACTCAAGAATATGTAATGTCTATTACAAAAATACCTTTATTTTAAATAATTATTTTTTATAGTATGTGCATGTAATATATATTTTAAAAAATTTATTTTCTTTCATTCTCAATTGTGTAAATAATATTTTTAGTTTTTTTTGTTAATATCAAAATTATTATTACGAATAAATTGTTCTAATTAACTTTCTATTGTGCTCAATATTTTATTATTCCAACATTGTATATGCTTAAATACTATTTTAATTTTTTTAATTTTATAAATTAAATTTATTTTTCTAAGGTAAGTCCATAATATAAATTAAAAAGAGAAAATATATTATATTAAAAGGCTAAAAAATAAAAAGAAGATAAAAGCTGATAATTTAGAGGGTAAAATAGGTATTTGGCGATCAAAAATTTGAGAAATCTAGTTGAGTGACCTTCTCAGATCTATTAGCATAGTTAAGTGACTTTGTTGTTACAAACGAAAGAAAGATAACATTGGTAGATAATTTCGGATAGTTGAGTGACCATCTGAGTAATGGACTCGTTGTTAAGTCCAAAGTTCCACCACTTGGAACACCTTCCTTCAACAAAAAATATTCTCTTTTCTAGAGAATAAGTTTGAGACGAAGATTTTCTCCTTCTGTTAACTCTCTTTTTCACTACATCAATTTCCCTTTTTTCATGCACACTACAATATTTTTTCATGCCAAACACAAGGAAGAAATACCACTATTTATAGGCAGGGGAAGATCTATGTATGGAGTTGGGGATGGTACGTCACCCGATCGCTCAAATAAAATCTTGTATATGTACTAGTATTTTCCTCAAAAATTCTACATAAGGAATGAATGGCACCCCGAGATACTAAGAAGTCGTTTGGTAGTTGGTTAGGAGAAAAGTTATCCATGTATTGGGGGCAACATAATTTATACAATGTTTGGTAGCCATTAGTTATTTTGTACAAAATTCAGCATAACTAATACCATGTTTGGTTGTCATTTTACAATTCTACATAAATAATACATGTATAAGTTATGATTTAATCTGTGTATTATTTTATGCGGGGTAGAAGATAGAATAACTAATACATGTATTAGTAATACATGGATAAAATATTAAAATGATAAATTTATCCCCATCATTTTACACATAAAGGCTTTCTTCTATAGATTGATCTGTATCAAACCCTTTGGAGAACAAGCATGGAGATAATGATGCTTCACTGCTAGGCTCTTCCTCTTCTCAATCTATTAGAGACAAAATTAGTAAATAAGTATTTTACTTTAAAATTTATATAATGTATATCAATTTGTAATACAACAAACCAAATATTCAAAAAAAATAATCCCTACGTAACTAATACATGTATAACTAATACATGCATAACTAATCCATTCATTACTTATTCCTGCATAACTAATACTTGCATAACTAATACATGTATAACTAATACTTGCATAACTCTAAGTAGTAACCAAACGACCTCTAGATGGATATAGGTGATATGGTTGAAGTGCTGAAATTCTATTTAAAGGACCCAGGATCGAGGCTCACTGTGATTTGTTCCTAGTTATTCCTTTTGTTACCTTATCCCCTTTCCTTTCTTTTCTTTATGCTCCTTTTGTTAATTGTTCTTATTTTCTTCATCTTTGTTATTCACTTATTTGTGCAATCTCATTTTTATTATTTATTTATTTGCTTCCTTTATCTTTTTCTGGATCTTTAAATTTTATTTGAATGTAATTTTTATTATTTTCTCTTTTTATCCATTTGTTGCTATTATATTAATTTTAGAGATTATTTTAGAGTGATTGAAGGGTGCGTATGATATATCCGTTTATGCATAATTTAATTTTTTTTAAATTGGATTGAAATTCAAAATGTACCAAACCAAACTGAAATAATTCAGAACGGATCAAATCGACTAAATATACATCTTAATTTAATTTTTTTCGCTAGTGATCGTTTTGCATTAGATAGTGGCACCCATAGCTATCAAATCCTGGACCTGCCTCTGTTTATAGGTGTAGAATCTCTTCCATGAAGTAAATAATAAGGTAGTGGGATAATAAAATTATAGAACATAGTTGAAGGTTATAAAACTTAACCTTTAGTGGGTAATTAATGATAGATCATGGCATTAATAGTTTGTCACGGCCCAAAATCCACCTAGTCATGATGGCACGTAACTCAACCCGTCAGATAAGCCAATTAACAACTATCCAATTCAATTAATATTTAATTGACTCTAATACACTCCCTAAAGACTGGTAGTACAAATCATGAGCTTCTAAGATTAGAATTTATAAAACTGGGATGAAATAAATACATCATCTGTTCGAAATCTACATAAACAGATTTTTATAAATTTAAGGCTACCATGAACAAGAGGCAGCTACTACTGGAACACAGATACATCTTAAAATCCACCTCTCGTCGATCGCATCAACATCAGCATCCAATATCTGCACGCAAGATGCAAAAGTATAGTATGAGTACAACTGACCACATGTACTCAATAAGTAACAAACCTAACTTTAGGTTAAAAGTAGTAACGAGCTGGAACAAGGATTAGGGTCCAGCACCAATAGCCAACAACAATTCATAACAACATAATAGAAGTAATAAAAGAAGTAGCTCATAGATAAAATGCTTAGCTCGTTCACAGTTCTAGAAAAATAGTCCTGCTTTTCAAATATATTAGTGAAAACCCAAATCATTTACCGAAATCACCAAATTTATGAGTAAGTTTGAAAACTTTGATTTTTCCCAAAACTTTCAACAGGTAAATGTTTCATTTTTTAAAAAGGCGTGAGAAAAATACATCTCTATGCCTACATGCCAATATGTATGAGAAGTCATGAATGACGCAATATCATACAGCATGAGGAAAAATGCATCTCTATGCATGTATATCAAGTGTGCATGTCAATGTAATACGACTCAATGATAAAACCATATGCATACTCTAAGAGTATCATTTCACTCAGTCCTCTCAATCGCACTCAGTAGGTACCTGCGCTCACTGAGGTATGTACAGACTCCGGAGGGGCTCCTTCAGCCCAAGCGCTATAACAACCCAATCATGGCATAAATCAATAAAATATGCTGCAGTGCGCAGCCCGATCCCATAAATATCCTCACCATCAGGCCCTCGGCCTCACAATTCATCAATCTCTCCAGTCTCTCGGGCTCACAATGTCATGAAAATCGGCAAAAATTGATGATATGATGAAATCAATAAATAGCAACAGAGACTGAGATATGATATAAAATGAATGAACATGACTGAGTAAGAAGTTACAATTTAAACAAATAATTCGATAACAGAAATGACCTCAGTGGGTCCCAATAATACCAACATTTGCCTAAGCATGATTTATAACATGAGTGATAGCTCAATTTCTCTAACACATAAAAATATATGGAAAAATATAAGTTAATTGACTATACAGCTCTACGAAATCAACCGAGTTTCGATTTCTACGGTGCACGCCCGTCACCTAGCATATGCGTCACCTCCAAAGAATTCACATAACACGTATAATCAGGGTTCATACCCTCAGTTCTAAGATTAGAGATGTTCCTTATCTCGAATAAACCGAATCCATTGTCGAGCAAGCTAAACAATGCTCCAAAAATTTCATTCTGTGCGTATCAACTTCTGAACGGTTTAAATCTAGTCACAATTAATTCGAATCAGTCAACACAAATTATAGTAATTAATTCCATATTAAAATATTAATTTTCCCATAAAATCCGAAATTACACTCAAACATTGCCCCGTAGGGCCGACGGAGTCCCATTTTCAGATCTTAAACATTCTGTCCTGGACTTTCTTCTTCGGGAACACGGCCACTTCCTCGCGTTCGCGGAGCACAATTTTGTTTCGCTCAGTTTTCCTCCTTTGCGAACGCGGCACCTCCCTCGCGTTCGCGAAGCACAAATTGCCACTACCCCACAAGCCTTCTACGCGGACGCGAGGAGCCTCTCGCGAACGCAATGCATGACTGACCCACCTCTTCTCAAACGCGACCTCGACTATGCGAACGCGTAGAATAAATGCTTTGGGGTCCCAGCTGCCTCTATTTCCTCTATGTGAACAAGATAACTATCTCGCGTTCGCGATGCACCACTGCCCAGACATTCGCGAACGTGGCTCCCACTTCGTGAACGCGAAGCATAAATCCTCACCTGCCACCCACTCCCCTTCGTGAACGTGGGACTCCCCTTCGCGAACGTGGAACTCCCCTTGCGAATGCGAAGAAGGAAACCAGCACCTGAAACACCAGATTTTTTGCAATTC